GTGAAGATTACAGCAGCTGTTTCTGTCAACGAAATGGAGAATTTCAGAATTGGGAAGCTTTATTGACACTGAAGAATCTGCCAAGACAGCAAGTCTTAATTAGAATGCGTAACTTTAAGTGAAAATATTCCCTCTTTTGTAATGCTTTCAGTTGTGTGCTTGTAATTTGCTAAAAATCTGAGAATTCTGGTCTGTCCTTGGAAATGGCCGAAAGCTTATTACTGAAATAACCTAGCAGTAGACACACCTAAACCATTCTCATCAGTCATCAGTATTTCTCTCCATGCACGTGCTTTTGGAGAACTTTCATACAGCTAATCAAGCACTCATCTGTGTTTAGGGATTTGTGCTGCACTTCACAGGCAACAGTGTGCCATTGCTATGCATGCCTGCATGCAGTTTGGTGCAAAGCTGATGGATTTTCATCACTCCTTTCTCGTCACTCCTCTTTTTCTTTCCTCAGCCCATGTGCAGTGGGCAAGTCAACCTAGCTGTTCTGGCCAAGAGGCTGATTTAGTGGCTGTTAGGGAAAACATTTTTGTCCTAAATTAGTGAAGAATTCTATAGCTGCTTAAACAGGCAAGAGCTTTTTAGGTCATTGGCAAGCCTGCATAATATTAGATAAAATTTAATAAAAAGTACTGAATGAAATTAGCCAGAGTTTTTGTTTGGGTGTTTTCAGCTTTGCTCTTTCTGTTGGAAAGTTGCCTTAGGACATCAGTCCTTTGACGGTCAGAAACCTTTAAACACCCAGACTCATTTTATTCCTGGCCAACTTGTTCTCATGCACTGCTCTCTGTGTGCCGAAACAGCTTTTCTTTTCCTGTTGGAAGTTCAAATGATGCAGGTTTTTTTATAAAAGTCCTGTTGCAGAAGTTATGGTTTGAACAACAGTATTGTTTCATGTTGTTTGCTCTAAATCTTAGGCTGAATTTTTATGAGTGCTTTAAACAGTCCTGTCTTTAAGCAAGCCAGTTGTGTAGTCTTTGTATGAGCACTCCTGCAGATCTGGATTGAATTGGATCAGGGAACTGATCTGACTGCAAAATGACTTGGGGAAGCAGGTTTTCAGCTGGATAGAACCACCACTTTTGGAGGCAGTCTCCACATTAATTACTTACAGTGATCTTGAAATGTCTGGCTGCCTTAGCATTTGTAGACTATTTCAGTTTTCTTTAGATCCACCCTTACTGTTCTCTTTGGAGAATGGGAAAAATCCCACAATTCCTTTTCATTGAGTTATGCATAAGATGATGTATTAATCTTCCTCATAGCTTCCTTTTGTTTGTTTGCTCTCCGTTCTTTGTCTAACACTGTGATGCTTTTCTGTAGCATTAATAACATTTTATTTCCTGTGGATGCCAGTGTGATAATCTGAAGCAAAGCTGATAAATGGTTTGAAACTCAACAACCCAGTCCTGGATATTCAAAGAATCTTAGTTTTAACAACATTTGTCCTGGATATTGGTTGGAATTAGCCTGAAAAGGCAAGCTCTAGATTTTATGTCGAAAACCTTTTTTTTTTTTTTTTTTTTTTTTTCCCAACTATTTCTCAACTCATCCAGGCATGGAAAAAAAAAAGATGTTGTGACAAAATTACTTCTTAACAAAATTTTTCTGGAACATTGTGAAGTTCCTGATATCTGGAATATTAAGTTTTTATTCATTGCTTCTGAGGTGAAGATCTATGTGAAATTCTTCTGTGCAGGTCACTATTTCATGCAGTAATGTCAAGTCCTGATCTTTTATTGATCTAACTTTCTGTACCTGGGAAGTAATGGGGCATGCCATTTCTGTTTCAGAAGTCCAATTTACACAAAGCTAACACCAAGTAAAAAAGTGCTGCCTTAGTAAGTAGCACATTTCATTCACTTAATTAACTTGCAACTGTAGCAAATCTTTCTGGTGTGGTTGTTGTGGTTCAGCAGTGGTTCCTGGCTTCCACAAGATTGTTTTTATGCATTGAACTGTATAGGAGGTGAAAGTACTTTTTTCTAAGTAAATTGCCTGTGGTACCAAATACTAAGCCTAGATTTACTGTCTACCAGCACATATGCTTTGCTTTATTTTTTTATTTTTTTATTTTTTACCTTTTTGAACTTAGCATACTTGCATTCTAAGCCAAATGAGGACTGTGCAACAGGCTCAGCAACAAATGCAACATTTCAGTAGCTTGCAAGTACTGATAACTGAACAAGAGCAATATACCTTTGGTCTTGAATTAATAGAGAACTCAGGAAACTTTGTGTTGTTTTCTCAAGTGGATTTGTCAGAACAACACATCTTAATTACATGCTAATTCTTCAGTATAATACTGAATCATTTCTTGAGTAGATTCCTTTCCTAGGAAGATACAAATTATGCTGAGGACATTTCTTACAGAAGATTTGAATTTCTTTTCTTTCAGAATAGATGCGTACGTGTCTATATAAAAACATGTAAAATTGCCCTGAGTGTCCATACTGAGGTGGTTGTAGTTATAATCTCTTCCAGTGATAAAATATAATCTCCATTGCTTTGTACATGCCAGACATAAGCAAATGCCACAAAGCCGTGAAAGTTTGGAATTATTTTTCACTTCTTGTGATTGAACAAGGAGCAAGATATGTGTGTCAGGTTGTGCAGCAGGATGCATTCCTGCCCCAGTCTCCAGCTCAGAGCTGTGTTTTCTAGTGTCTCCTGTCCTGCTGCCAGCAAGTTACCAAGGTTGAAGAAGTGGAGGCAGAAACCAGATGAGTGCAAAGGAAACTTGTCCTCTCAGTGGCACAGTGCATAATAAGCCAATCTCAGACGCACTTCCTGTGAATACAGAGGGGTTTGGATCAGGGCTTTCCTGTAAAGGAGCTCCAAGTAACAGCAGAATAAACCTCTGTGTACTCAGCAGGACACTGTGAAGGAGCTGGCAAGGAGCCCCTCTCATGTTCCAGCGTGTCCATGGCTGGCTGTGTGGGCAGGCCTGGGGCTGGCCAGGCTGCCATCACCCTTCTCCTACTTCTTCAACTGCCTGACCCTGCACTACTGACAGTAAGGCATGGACATGAGAACAGAATGTACATGCACCTTCATGTTTTCAACAAATTATACATTGAAAGCCTCCTGATGAGGACCATTTCACCTCCTTGTCTAACTGTTGGCACAGTTACTTAATTACATATACGCAGAAATGGTACAAATCTGTGTTCCCTTCACTTCCATTGTAGCAATTCCACTCAGGTATTTGGGTGTTTCTCATGCCAACTGTTTTTTGGGTGGGTTGTTTAGTCAAAAAGCGCTTTTATTTCTTAATTTTTTGGCTGATTAGTTTCTCAGTTGTCTTAACATGATTTGTTAGTGACATTCTAGTTGACACTGTAAGTGAACATAAGCTTCAGTTCCTTGAATTGGAGGTGTTGTCCCTGGTTTAAAGAGCAAATCATAGTTTAGTGTTTTTGAATGTTTGCCTTGTACAACTGTCACGACTCTCTTGATACGTATGTTGTGACTGGCATGTTTTGTGTTGTGGTGACTTTCATAATCTCATTCTTCACAAATATGAAAAAATTCACTGTCAAGTTTGAATAATAGAAAGCCAAAAATATGACAAACATCACCGTATTTTACTAAGTCATCTCCACCAGGGAGATGTTTGGAGTAGTAGAAAAGGCACAGAAATTTTTTTGTGGGGTTAAAGGAATCCTGTATCATTCTAATACACTTATTCAAAAAGTTACTTGTGCCAATGATATTCAGTTTTGTGAAGCAGTTACCAAAATTGGATAATACCACTTATTTTGTGGAATGGAATATGCATCCAGTATAATCTGTGAGTCACAAATGTTTTTTTTCTTCCTTCAGTCCTGCAAGCACTTGTTGAAATAGTTGATTTTGAGCATGAGTAGTCCCACCGACTTTAGTGAGAGTGCTCACCATATTGAAGATGAAGTGCTTACAGGATTTAACCTTAAATATGTAGCATCAAGTTTGTTCTTAACACTACTTTCCCCAGGTGAATTC